ATGTCAAAAGCGCGCCGACAACAGCGCGCCGACAACAGCGCGCCGACAACAGCGCGCCGACAACAGCGTGCCGACAGAAGCACGATTTAAGTTAGGGTTAGGTTTAGGGTTAGGTTTAGGGTTAGGTTATGTTACAGCGCGCTGTTGTCGGCGCGCTGTTGTCGGCGCGCTGTTGTCGGCGCGCTTTTGACATCGCGGTTTTGTCGGCGCGCTTTTGACGTTCGCGGTTATGTCGTGCCACGAGTAATAATACTAGCAATCACACACACTTCAGAAACTAAATATTATTTGATAGAATGAATACATAATGGCTATTTTCAGATATTGGAGCATAAAATCGTATGCACGTGCAGCTAAATTGAAACAGCATTGATTTTTGGGGATAGTGTGGAAGAAGGGAACAAAATTCTGTAATGACAATTTTTACGTTCATTAAATATCAGAACTGATCATTGGCTAATACACATGTTCATGGACTTTTTTGTGTATTAGGTTATTTTAACATTGTATCAAGAGTTTTACTTTCCTTCAGTGAATGTATGCGGTTTTACATGAAACCCCATGCTTCAAAATTGTATTTAGAGTTCTCTTTGTACTCTTAAAGACTGAATTACGGTAATTTCATCTTGTTCGTAGGTTAATTCATTGTATGTTGTACCTATATCATGCTCAAATAAGAGTATTTCAAGCATTGGGTGTAAGCACCAAGTACTCAGGTACCTAAAAATTAGCACACTGACAATATCGGTAGGATGTTTTTCTTGGAAAAAATACTTACCTTGTTGCAATTAGTTATCTCAAAGATTGAAATCCTCTAGGCTACATTGGAAAACAGCTGTTTACTTATTAACATCTACTCAATTTAACCCCAAGAATTCCTGGAGAGAGGAGTGGTCCAAGGTACCTTTTAATGGCCTGACCATTAGTGGTTCATCTATCAAACCATCTGATTTCGACCTGCCTCGCTTTGTCTGGTCAAAATTGAGTAGAATTAGTTGTGATCCTGGAAGAAGTGCCCTTTGCCCCGTGTCAGTGGAAGTGGAAAGGTTCCCCTTCTTGCGGTTGTGGTGCTGATGTGCAGATTATAAAACGTATTGTGCAATTCTGCCCACGATGTGCGTTGTCTGCTTCTCTAAAAGATCTCCACGATGCAAAGCCAGAGACGATCATCGCCTGGATAGCTGAATTGGACATCCAATTATGAAGCCACTGCCATACCCCCCCCCCAATAGTAGTTTTACTTATAATTACATGGGTTGTATGTGTGTGTGTTTGTATGTATGTTTTCTTCTGTCATGTTCTCATACGCTAAATAATGTTACATATAAAGAATTTCACATTCTTGGATGTATTGTAGCTATAGTTTAAAATATCTTAAGAGTCTTAACTTCTATGACTATAATACTTGTCAATAGTAAAAGAGCAGGTTGGATATTAAAACTAGGTTGGCGCAGTGGTTAGGGTGCAGTACCGAGGTGGCGCAGTGGTTAGGGTGCAGTACTGCAGGCCACTTCAGCTGACTGTTATCTGCCAGTTCAGCGGTTCTAATCTCACCGGCTCAAGGTTGACTCAGCCTTCCATCCTTCCGAGGTGG